CCCCAAAACCCCAAAACCCCAAAACCCCAAAACCCCGAGACATTATTTGAGATTGAAATTTAAATCAAAAACAAATTAAAATGTCGCAAAAAGAGGTAGATTCAAACCAAGAGTCTTCAATAGAGGAAGACCCGGATCAGTTCCTCAAACGAGCAAAAGAAGAGAATAAATACTACCCTGAAGAATCTTCAAAAGAGGAAGATTCTAAGGATCATTCTTCTGATGAAGATAAACCTCCTGGAAGGACAGCCACTAGAGGCAAGATGTTTGAAAATGAAGACAGAGTGATTGATAGTGAGGACGAAGACCGTCCAATTGGACCTCAACATATTGACTTGAAAGTTTCAGGCATTAACCTTAACAAGAACCTTGCTAGCTTTAGAAAGGCTTTACTTAGAGACAAACCTGATGATAAAAAGGGTTCGGCTTCATCAAAATGTCGGTCAATACTTAGCCTTTATTATGACTCTGACAGATGGAGGATGGAGTGAGTCCTCTTCTTATATTATGCAGTCAATTATCTCAACAAAGATATTTTCAAAGTGATTACCAAAAATATCAAGAAGGATGAACTCAGGATTACAGAAAGTGAGATTTGAGAAATTTTAAAGCAAAGGAACGCATTTGAACTTCTCAGCAATTATAGAAGCAAAGAAAGATCTATGCTGAATAATAGAGCATTTTTTGTTTCAGTTTATCTAAATGCTGAAAAGATGTCAGAGCAGATCTTGACTAATTCAAATATTGTCCTCTCAACACAGCTTATGCTTAGGATGATAGAAACAGACCAGAGCGAACTTATAAGATATTGACTTAAATATAAAGCCCAATATGATCAGGATATCAAGAGGAGCAGGATTTTACTCTCTGGAGCTCAAATAGATGCAAGCTTAAGTGACGATATTCAGCTTAGCGATTTCTTTAACTTGATGCTCCAGCAAGATTACTCTCATGAAAGGATCTGCCATCAGCTAATATTCTTAAAACATTTCATCAACTATAGGGAATTATTTGTATTATTTGCAGTGAGAAGAAAAGTTAGGCTGATATCTTTCTTAATGAATTCAGCTGATCTAAACTTCAAATTCAAGCCATACCTAATTCTTGATGTCCTTGCTAATGATGTTTATGATATCACTCTACTTCTGTACAGAGAGTATTTCCTGCAACTCAGTGGCAAGACAAATAGAAAGATTATAAGGTACCTCACCATGTCTTTCATGAAAACTGGTCAGACTGAAGAAAAATGCTGGCTTTACATGAGGTTTATCGATAAGGTAACTCTTGAACAAGCTACAAATCTCATAAAAGCTTTGTCTCTTCGAACATCCCACCAGTCAAAGTCAAATATTTTCCTGGTCTGCATAAATGTTGTCAGGATTGGTTGCCTATTAATCCAGATAATTGAACGACTTGTTCTCAGATTTCCCGTTCTCAAGGATAGAATTCATGAGATCAGAACGAAAATTGTTCAAATTTTACTGTCTTACATGGAAGACGTCACAACTATCGAGGAGATGAGATTCCTTCTGCTTACTCAAGATCTTGACTATAGAGATGCTCTGACTTATATCTGAGAGTATTCGATACTAGAGCTACTTGAAGTGCCATTAGCAGCTGAAGTAGCAGGGGAATTTTGGAATAGTAAATATAACATAAGAGGTCTCCCATGTATTGTGAGCACTAACCATAATCTTCTGTTTAACTTCAACCATACCAGGTTTGATATGGAAAGTCAGATGAGGTTTTATAATAGGAAAGATCTGAGGAAAATAGGGTGTCACGAGTACCAATTCCAGGTATGGAGAAATTGACCCAAAACACGATTCTATGCTGAATTCTTCTTTATACTTGGATTTGTGATTTGGACTCACACCTGGATTATTGATTACTTCAAATTAGCGAATCGAGTATGGGAGCTCAGTGATTTGCATGAACAAAATCAAGCATATATAAAAAGCTTTCCAGAGGTAAAGAATATTGGGCCCTCAACATGTGATCAAGAATTAGGCACTAGCATTGGAGAGGCTCCTTCTTATTGTGAAATAGAGCCATTAGGACCACTAGCATTGGATATTTATTACAAAGCATTGGATTTAACCTATATTGGGTTTGTCTATTGACAGTTGGCACTTCATAATATGTTCAGGTCTATTTACACTGGATATACTAAACAACAGATGTATTTCTACACTATTGAGACCTTAATTGATGTCTGTATATTTGGCCTCTTTCTCAACTTCATCATTCTCACATACAGAGTCGATCTGGAGGGGACATGGTTTGTGAATTACTCAGACTGACGAGAAGCAGAAATATTTATCGATGGATTCCTAAATTCAGGAGTAAATGAAGGAATAGCAATCACTCTTTGAGGTATCTTTCTCTGGATCAGGGTTGCTTTTAGCCTCAGACTCATGCCATATGTTGGACCACTTATGATGTTATTCATTCATAGCATCAAATATATTGTGGGTTTTGCCATGTTATTCTCTGCAACAGTTATCATTGTAGCTTTGATAGGAACATTAATTTTCCAAGATCTTCCAGCTTTTAACAGAGTAGATGACTCTCTGAATACTATATTTAACAACATTTGGGGACTGTTTCAATTCAATGATGCTAAGGGAGGAAGATTCGGGAGTGAAATTGGCTACATTTATATGATGGCTATTGTTGTTATTCTTATTATCATTCTCACCAATTTCTTGATCGCAATTTTTGCATCAAGATACGATAAATTTATGAAAAACGAAAAATCAATCATGATGCAAGAGGCTCTATATCTCAGACCAGTGATGGAAGCAAGCGGTAATCATTCCTCTCTAATCTCTGGAGCTTTTCCTCTTCATGGGCTTAATTGGGCTACTTCTCCATTCATGTTCTTTCCTCGGAATCCTAAGCTGCCAAATCTGATCATATTGCATATTTTATATCTACCAGTGGCAATAGTTGTAACTATTCTATTCATAGTTTACAACATTTTAATCCTCCCATTGGCCTACTTAAAGCTGATCCCTCACAAATTTGCTTTAATTTTTAAGAAAGAAGTGACTCACAGTGGAAACACGGCAAATAGGGTTGGAAGTTTCGTGCTAATCCTTGTATTCGGACTCTTCATACTGGCACTAAATTTCTGTGTCGATACATATTATTTTGTCATTCATTTGTATAAAACAGATCTTGAGAGAATCGATGAGGGTGATATTAATAAAATACCTGATATGTCGATGAGAACTTATAAGAAACTCTTTCATTATTTGGAGAAACATAAAACTCCATACCTCCCTTTTGAACAAGTCGCAAGCGGGTTTAGAGAGGAACTAGAGGTTATGCCAGCAATTCGGCAGATGTTGTTTCCTCATAGATCGATTTTGAAAGGGAAAGATCTCCAAAACAAAGCTACAGGGATAGTGAATGAATACATTATTGTTAAGAAAATTTTACTGAATAACTCTGTTGATGAGAAAACAACCCAATTGTTCCCGAACGGAACTAAGAAAATTACCAAAGATATAAAATTCAACAAAAGACTTCTTCAATACTGTCTGCACGATATGCTTAGATTCAGAAGACTTCTGCTAATGAAAAGAAGGTGTTATCTATTCACGTATCTCTATGATGGAAAGGGTCAGAATAAAGTAGAAGATCTAGTACAAAGGAGAGAAAAGATTGAGAAACATATATCAGAAGCCTTCAATTTCATCAACACAAAAAGAACTCTTAACGCTATTGGATACAAACCAAAAGAGAAGATTGTCTCCACAGAACAGAAAGTATACATGGAAGATGGGAGTGATTATGGCTTTGCAGAGACCATGCGAAATTTCCACGAAAAATTAGACCAAAGGAATTTTAGAAAAGGAGGACTTCTTAGCCAAAACAACTCCAAAGTGAGTCTAAAGAAGCTGTACCATATGGCTAAAACTGAGAATAAGACATCTGAAAAAGACGAGACTCTTTTTGATGTCAATGATGACTTTAGAGTCCCTCCTGCCAACCAAGATGTAGAGAAAGAACTTGCGAAAGTTCTAGAGGATGAGTCCATAGAGAAGATATTCGGTCTTGGAGACTCAGAAGACGAAGAAGATGATGACTTCAACGCTATAGGTATCAACACGAAACTTACAGGCAATGTTCAAACCTCAGCAACAAATGTCAAAGAAAAGCCAATAGATAAAAAGGAAACAGGTGACCACCTCTATTCAGGCATGGAAAATATTGAAGACAGCGAGGAATGGGAGGAATCTGAAGAAGAAGTAGATGAAGAAGATGATGATGTGGTAAACCCTCCTAACATTCCGCCTCAGATTGAACAAACAGACTCAGGAAATATAGAATTTTCAAAGGAGCATGAGACCAGAGATCCAAAAGCAAGTTAAATTTTATAACTCTACCTTCAATTCCTTAGATTTCTGTGGGGTTTTGGGGTTTTGGGGTTTTGGGGTTTTGGGGTTTTGGGG